ACAGCCAAGTGCAGACCATCTCAGACACCTGCACTCAGGCCCATGGTCCTAATCATCCTCTATGCGGACCTGCTGGGTAACGCCACAAGGGTAACCCAAGAAGGGCTCCCACAGGACATACAGAACATCCCACAGCACTAGAGGGCTGTCCCTCAAGCATGTGGGAGTCTTCAGATCCAGGAGCTCGGCCGCTGCTGTCCTTTACTTGGGTCTTTTCTCTCAACAAAGTCTTATCTTTTCAGGGTATTAGTTTTGTTAAGTTTGTTTTCCTTTGTGTGGGGGGGCACATATGAGGGGCATATCAGTGACTTTGTTATTGTGATGAAACACCATGACCAAAGCAACTTACAGAAGGAAGGTGTATTTGGGCTTCCGGTAGAAGAAGAGTTCATAATGGTGAGGAAGGCACAGCTACAGGACCAGAAAACCTGAGAGATCACCTCTTCACCTCAGAAAGCAGAGAAAGTAAGCAGGAAGTGCGGCAAGAGTATAAGATCTCAATGCCAACCTCCTGCGATGGTCTTTCTCCAGTAAGGCCCCGCCTCCTGAAGAAGGCCCCGCCTCCTGAAGAAGGCCCCGCCCCTGGAGAAGGACCTGCCCCTGGAGAAAGCCACCAACCTGGGACCAAGTGTCCAAATATCAGAGCCCATGGGGGACATTTCTCATTCAAACCACCACAGGGGCCAGGGCAGGGCATCGGGTGTCTTTCCTCGACTGCTTTCAGCCCCACTGCCTTGAGACACAATGTCTCACTGAACTGGAAGCTTCCCGTTTTGGATAGCTGTCTGGCCAGTGCCTTGGGTCCTGTCTGCTCTGCAGAGCGGGGTTGCAGGTGCACGGACCACGGTTATGTGCTGCTGAGGACTCGTGCCGGAAGATCAGCGTCAACTTCAGTCTCTGACACACACGGAGGAGATGGTCATGATTTGAAGCTAGAGAGATGCCAACAGAGTGAGTGACAACCAACACTCAAAACGGGGAAGCCCAGGGACCTGAGTTCGATCCTTAGAACCCATTTAAAGAGGGAAAGGGAGAACTGATTCTGTAAAGTTGTCTGATGACCTCTACATTTAGTATGCATGATACATATGCATGCACACGCACACACTAAGAAAAATCCATGTAGAGTCTGTGACATGTGACTTTTTCCAGAGAGACATGAACAGACATTTGTCCATCCCAGGCAGGGAAGGACAAAGAAATTATGTCACCCAAGTCTCATGTGGTGGAGCAGAGGCTTTATTGGGGTTACATGCAGAGCCAACAGCCAGGAGGCTCTCCAGCAGCCACATCACCGAAAAGCCCACCACCCAGTACAACGTGAGGCGAAGAGGCCCTGCTGAATGGACTCCCGCTGCAGGCAGCTGCTCCCTCTTCACAGCCTCTGGACCTTTCCAGCCCACTGAGGTCCCCGAGTCTGAGGAACCTCCCTCTCCCGCCTGGGAGGGAACGGTTCCGTTACCAGAGGAAATAGCTCAGCAGCCACCAACACCAGTGTGGCTCACGAAGCCTGGTTTGGTGGCACTTAGAAAGGACTGGAAGCTTGAAGCTGGTGACCACAGGCTCACTTACCAGCAGCTGTTCCTGCACTGGGGACACCCTCCCCCTGGCTGCAAGGGGCAGGGCCTCCCACAGCTGCTTGGTCGGGCTTCAGTCAGCAGTGAGTCTGAGAAGGGCGGTGGGTCTCACTTATCACCGCGGTGCCCAGATGTACAGGGACCCATGCACACATGTAAGGCACTCCCACAGCTACGGTGAAGGATGAAATAGTAGTGTTCCCAGTGTTTGTGATTAAACAGGAAACACCAGCGACCAAGAGACTGCCTGGGCAGACCTGTCATTCCCTGGTGACATGAGATGGAGGCAGTGGGAGTCTTTCTACACCGATAGATCATCCCAGAATACTTACGATCAGTTTGTGAACCGTGTGGGTCGGGCTGCTATGGGGTGCATTCTGATGGCAGGGGCAGGTGGGTTTCTATGAATTCTGTGGCTGCACGGTGAGACCCTGCCTCAAAACAAACAAAATAAACAAAAAACTCTGTTCTCACTCCTCCACTGTTGGTGGGAATGTAAACTTGTACAACCACTGTGGAAATCAGTATGGCGGTTTCTCAGAAAATTAGAAATCGAACTACCTCAAGACCCAGCCATCCCATTCTTGGGCATATACCCAAGGAATGCTGATTCATACCATAAAGATACATGCTCAGCTATGTTCATAGCAGCACTATTTGTAATAGCCAGAGCCTGG